ACGACTGAAAGGGCGAGCATGTTTGGTGGTATGCGGATTCGAACCCGCGACCCTCAGATTGTGAGTCGAGCGCCTTATCCACCTGGCCATGCCGGGCCTTTCCTTTTGTTGATACTGAAGTGTGTATATTTCGATTAATTATAAAATACTGGAATTTTACGTGTATATGCAATTGAAAAAAAATACCTAACTTAAACTTCTCTTCAAGGGCAGAGCTGCCATGTACCAACTTTAATTCATGTACTACAAGTCATTACGTAATCAACTTCAATACACTATTGACTTTGTATGGGAGCTCCGTACGATTTTATTTAAAAGGTAATATCAGTTAACTACCAAAGTTACAATGTTCCCGACTACTTAATAATTTCATAATATTTAGCAAGTTTCGCATTTTCTTTATATTAACACTTCAACTTTTGGTAACATTCAATAGCTATTATGGGAAATAATTTTGTCCGAATTTCATCATGGGAGTTTGACTGACATTTATCTTCAAGACGAGTATGGAAATTATTAATGGAAATGTCGGACATAGTGTAGTTGAAATATTAGTACTCACCTCATTCTCGGAAAAACCCTACAGAATCGAATGAAGAATGTAAGACAATAAGGATGAACTCTCGTTTTGTGAATATATATATATTTGTGTGTTTGTTTTCAGTAAAGTATAATTCCATATACTGTTATCATACGTGTACAAGAGTCTTGAACTATCCAAGAATTGATAACAATATTTGTTGGTTTGTATAAAAGAAAGGACAATCTACCAATTTTAGAATATAGTATTTAAATTTCTCAGCTGTATAACAATAACGTAGGAATACTACGAAAGGCTTAGAATAACAGTCTCTAAAAGTGTAACACAATCAACAAGCAAGTTTTATTTGCATCAATACAAAGTACAGAAATGTATTTCATCAACCTAGCCTGGACACAAAAAAAGCTTTACATATAATATCACAATTAGTACAAGTTAATTCTTTAAGCTTTAGAACTAGATAGATAGATTAAGAGATAAAGCAACCATGAAACTAATTAACTGAATTTGATTTTTTTTTCTTACAGTTTCAAAAGCAGTTAAGAACTTGCATTTTAATCTGTCGAATAATTATAGTAGACAATTTACATTAAAATTATTGAAAGACGTTCCTTTACTAATTACTTAACTTACAGTACTCTTACAATAACTACAAAAACGTACATTAAAAACACTTCCTTCACTGTCAAGATATATTTCAGCTATAAGTAAGATTTAATTCCTTATCATCATTATAAATTGTTCATGAACGAAAATTACGCTTTATTTCACCAATCGTTTTACTTGACAACTTAAGAATTCTCGTGATATGCATTTCCATTTTTTTTTGTAACATCAACATTCTATATTTGTCAGAAATGCATACTTTATGTTATTTAATGACCTACACATTTTTAAACAAGCATAACTAAGTCCAGATCACTTAAACACGTTTCTGCGACCGTGAAATATATATATATTCAAGCATTTACAATGGTAAACAAAAACACAGAATAGTTAGTACAAAAAACGCACTCTAATCTTAGTAAGAAAACACAAATAGCTGTTAACTCGAAAACGATGTTTCCTAGCCTACGTTGTTCGGGCTACCATACTAATTACAGATGATAAAATAATAAATTCCAAAAAAACTAAAGTTTCAAAAGTGATATTAAAATCTGTCATTACACAGAACCTACCACATAAAATACTTATAGTGTGAAAATTTTGTCAATACGGAATTTACTAATTGGAATAATTAAATTAGCTGTTATCTTAAGAACTGAAGCTTATTTTCTATTGTTTCTATTAGTACGTATATATATACATTTACATTTTATATCCTTTAAACTGTTCTTAATCAATTACCTATAAATAGTTTCAAAATTTTTGTGAGTAATAGCATCACAAAAACTAGAAACGTTAGTTGGGGTTATTTTTTTATTATTTACTTTTGGAATACATATTTCTTCTTGTTTAGAAATTTTCCCTATAATTGGGGAAAAATCCTATCCGACAAAGTGCAGATTTTTGAGACATACGTGTTGTTTTCCATAATATCCCAAATTAAGTCAAACCTAAAACGATGCTATGAATAACATTACATCAATACTGAAAGAAACTTAACAAGTAACTTTTCATTAACTATAACAATACTTTACCTAAGTACCTGGTAAATATGCATCTGACAAAGCAAAATTAATATCTATAGTCACTTATTCGGCCAAAAGCATTAAATTAATACTTCTCTACATTTATGCAACTTACCTCTACTTAGGAGCAACATTAGTTCAGTAAGTAGTATTTTTCATGAATTTATCTAAACAGTCGCAGGCTAGCTGCAACAAAACACGAAGAGAATACAGAAATATAAAAGTTTGTAAACTCTATTCGACTTAGTTTAGGTCTTAACATTTCAGTTTTTTTTTTTTTTTCAATCAGACAGATGTTGACAAGAAAACACCAAGATTAAATACACAATCATTTGTCCCAAATCCTCCTCCTTCTACGATTCTGGTGACGTGTTAGAACTAAAATAATGAACAGTTGCACATTGAAGATTCTGACCTTGAGATCCACTTCTCGTGAAGAACTTACCAATTATATTCGTCACCTTCTCGTCTTTAATAATAATAACGTTGGTTGCAAACCTTAAAAATCAGTACCATCCTCTCCTAGAACATAAATAAAGCACAAACATTATTTTACTTGAACACGAAAGCAATAAGCCACATGAAACACCAAATCAATTCAAGTTCCCTAAATATTAACTATGTTGACAACGATGGGCTTTTTTATCTTGCTTCTTCTCTTTTTTTTCTTTTCTTTAAAACATATTTACTATATTATTATTTTTCTTGCTTATTTGATTTGCATTTTTGAGAATAATAAGTCAGTTACAATCTCAGTAGTAAGAAATAACGATTGCATTTTTGTTGGTTAGGCTTAAATTTATGTTGTTAAATGGTAATTTCATTTAATATTCAAAACATCATTTTTACAAACTTAATAGACAGTACTAATCAAAATATTTCTGAAAAATTGCAATTACTCGAAACTAATTATAGAAAAATCGGAACTCCAGAAAATATAACGCGTTTATTCACAAGATAACAGCTTCCAGTTTTGAATAGGTAATGTTATCATAAGATTGGAGTCATATTAGTTTTTAATGCTTTATTTAGAAGTTAAACCCTTTTCTTCTCATTTTAAAGGTACGATTTTTCTGCTGCAACATGCTCTAATTGGGTATTTCAAAGTAGAAAACTTTCTGTCTGGTCAACGATTGGTCGATCAGCATCACCTGCTTCTGATTCTACTTCTTTAACGTATAAATAACACCGCTATTGTTATCGACAGCTAAAACTATAAAATATGGGTACCTAGTACAAAAGCTATTGCAAGAAAAAGGCAACAGCATCTCAAGACAAGTTCAAATGAGAAAGTCAGCTCTGCAAATATATTATCTCCAGTTTATATTGGCATCTATATCCTTTTTTTCGATTATTCTCCTCCCCCTACACTTAGATACTGGTTTCCAAAAGAGTTCGTTTAGTGCAAAGCTACACAGTGGACTATCAGCGCTCTGTCTACTGCAAAGGATATTGTTTGTTTGTTTGAAGTTAAGCACAAAGCTACACAATGGGCTATCTGTGCTCTGCCCACCACGGGTATCGAAACCCGGATTCTAGCGTTGTAAGTCCGCAGACATGCCGCTGTGCTATTGGGGGGGGGGGGCATTGTCATAGAAAAATAAAAACTCGAAAAACATTTTTAAAAATTGAGGAAATATATTTTCTAATTTTATTTCTTTTTTTTTAGTAAACCTTTTTTTATCTTTTAATGAATGGTTCAATTATATCCTGTTTTCTGAAGTAAAGACATTTTTAAAATGCAAGTTTATTATACGAATGTTTTAAATGTAAAAGTAGGTAAAAACACGTATCACATCGCAATTTAGATGTTGTCTATCCTTTGTTATTTTCAATATTGATCTACTTTAAAACTAAATAGAAAAATGCTATAAGGTTTTTACTGGAAAAACAAAACTTAGAAAACTTGTGTTCATCACATTTTGCATTAATGAAGATAATGAAAATAAATCGGTCTTTTTTTTTTTAATCCAGATAATGAATGATAGTATTTGAATTCACATTGCGTTAGCAACATAAGATTTTTCCTACCATCTAGTAAAGGATTCTCTCCTGTCATCGTCTGCAACATTCGGAACGAGCGAGACGGTATCTTCTTACCAGTATACATTCTGGGTTCTGGTTCTTCTGGTAATTGCGATGCTGGAACTTCAGGTTCGTTGTATTGCTGTTGAAAGGCTGGTTGAGGGTATCTTTGAGTAGGATTTTGATAGTATTGTTGCTGAGGGTAAGACTGGTGGTATTGCTGTTGGAGGCGAGGTTGGTAAGGTTCCCCTATCTGCATTTGAACCTTCGTTGTTTTCTTTGGTTTCTGCAACGCTGAAGGTGGAGGAGGGCCTATGAAAAGAACCATCAATTCATGGTGAACCAATCTAGGAATTTTTAATCCTATCAATTTAATCCTCAAAACAAAATTATCATTCACTATGAGTGGGGTCTACATAGTGTATCATGTTGAGTAATTTTGTGTTTTTTTTACCTTTTACAACACTAAGATAAGGAAGTGACAAAAACAAAAAGGTGAAATAACTCACTTTTTATGTAAGATACATACAAATCTGTAGTCATGAATGGAATTAGTTTCAACATATTGTATTTTAGTTCACATTTTTGTATGACTCATACTATGTAGCACATATACAGCTTAGAAAAATGTGTTTTAAAAGATGTTGGAGGACCTCATCGGCAATTCTAGGGTTAATAAGCAACGTCAACACTTTCTTTACAAAGAATGTAGTAGCTTCTGTATCAACCAGTAGTTTTTATTTTTCTATGAATAAATCTTATCATTTTACCAGGGGTAAAATACATTCTATCAAACACATGTTTGCAAAATTTTCATGAAAGCTGTTCTTTCCTTTCAGTAATATTTATATCCGCAGTTCATATGGATGCATATTCATCTGAAGCAAATTTATTTAGGTTTTAGAAAGTTTCCGAAGAAAAATAATAATTGCTGGATCTCCAAGTCTCTAACCATTTGTTCTGGTTAGGAAGGTACATCTGTATGATGAACTCAAATAGCTTTTATTTCCTGGTATCTAAAGCTATGGCTGTACAAAGAAATGACAGATCCATTATTGTGACCTCGAAATTCGGCCTGTCATCATTAATATAATTCTTATCCAATTTACACTTGATAATAACCGGTTCACTAAATTTAGATTGTTTTAACCAAATAAAAATAATATTACACTTAAGGTTTTACTCTGATTGAATCTTTAAGAGTTTTCCTAACTCCATATAAGTTAATCTAGGCATTTTAATGGCAGGAGCCCTAAAATAAAAGCTGAATTTCCTAAACAACACTACGTTGCGATTTCGAATATATGTTTTTATGGATTATTAATTCATAACAAAGTATGCTTCATCTTATGCTAGGGATATCGCTTTATTTCACATAACGGATTGCTTTAATTACAGTAAAACGTACTTGTAATATTAAATAAATAAGATCCAGTTTCAAACATTTATAAATTTTGCTTTACAGACTTCTAATGAGTCTTGAGTTTCAAATAACATTTTTTAGGATGAACCACGAAGATTTTAGAATGTTTGGAATAAAACAATCCGTAAATCACAAGTTTTTTTTTTGACGGATTTTACATGCAACTTGATATGTTTTTTGTAATCTATAATAAAATAGAGGAGACATAATAGAATATTGACATCAGCATTTCTATGTACAAACTATTATATCTGTCACGCACGGGAGAAATTCCACTGCCAAAAGCAGTTTTTCGTATCTCAAAATTTAGTAGCTTACAACACCAGAAAATATTTTTTATGTGCTTTGTCCAATATTACAATAACAGGTAGTTTCATACAAGTAAACAAGAACCAGTGGTTGTATTTTGTCTGTGGGTCGATTGTACTGGAACACACAGTTTTTTATCAACTAAAATGAAGGATGTGCATTAATTATAAACAACTCATATGACCAAGCTTTTAGATTTGCACACAAATTTCGTTGGTGAATAAAAGTTGCGGTACTTTAACTAAGCCTAAAGCCATTTTTTTTACCAAAGATTGTTAACGTGGGAGCAAACAAAAGAGGCAAGTAATTTAAAAGCATGTGTAAACTGTAATGTCTACGCTTAGTTTTAGTTTTATTCTACAAGCCTACACTGAAGTGTTTCTCAAACATAATGGATATATCAGTAGCGAGAGTCAAGTGTTAAACAGATTGACTCTAATCTAATGTGTGATGATTTTTCTTTCACATCACTAAGCTCTATTTGAAAGATTAAATGGCCGTAAGGGGGAGGATGGGGGGTACATGCCACATAGCCTTAAAAGGTTATCGCCATGCTACTTTCTGACTATATATATTGAAAAAGTCGACCACTTGTACGGAAACTTTTGACACATTAAGATTTATTTTGATTCAAAACAACCCTCCATCATGAAGAGTGACTATCGACGGTTACTGGAACCTATGTGTCTGGCGCCCTCTTTAAGCCACAATGTCTGGAGTATTTTTGACCGAAATACAACTTAGATGAAAGCATCACTATTTTAACATTCAATATATATATATATATATATATAATTTTACTTTTTCGTTTGCACTGTGGACTTTATGGATTTAACAAGTAGCTTATGATAAAAATCTGTGGTCTTATATTTTTTTCAATGTACCAGCTAAACTGTCAGAAACAAAATCTCTTGGACATTTTATTTTCATTATCTTTTCCCGTGGATTAAAGTGTTTATTTAAAACAAAAAATATATCAAACAAGTATAAGATATGTGTTGAATAGTATACAACTTCTTTGCTGTATTGTGCTTTCATAGATCGCTAAAGGTTTGCAATAGAAAGAATATTCGTAGTATATGATAAGTAATTATTTTAATAAGCTTTATATCGTTAAATAATTTAATCTGAAAATAATCGGTCTTTAACATTTTCCGCATGACTCCACGTGTAAGAATCTTTCGATACAAGACTACATTCCAAACATCCTAACTTACTCTCTGTAAAATTACAAATAAATACAGAAAAATATTTTGGTTGACAATGAAAAAATTAGGGAGGACGTTTTTTGATTTCAACGCGCGATGTATTTTTTAAAACAGCATGGCATTATAAAAAAATCATCCGTCATACCCTCAATTGTGCGACAACAAACTACTGTGATAAACATTAGTTGAAATATATAAAATGTTCTTGAACAATAATCTTAGACTGTTTATCAATGCATAAAAATAAGTATTAAATGTAATGATAAAGGTCAAAAATTTAACTTAATTTTTGATTTTAGATAAATGTGATTCAGATGGTTTAGTACTTTAAAGCTTAAAGCAAGGCCCGACGTGGCCAGGTGGTTAGGGAACTCGACTCGCAATCTGCGAGTCGCGGGTTCGAATCCCCGTCCCACCAAACATGCTCGTCTTTTCAGCCGTGA